ATGGGAAAGATATCAAATGGAACTGGAAGGCAAGACAGGAGCAACCTGGAGCCGAGTGAACTTCAAGGAAAAATCATGGGACGTGATACGACGATATGGGACACAATCCATAATGAAGGTGGGATTGAATCAACCCATCATGCGTGAGGTCCTGGAGAAAATAGTGAACTCCATGGAGTCGGATGTTCTGACCGAGTCAGTTACAGAAGACAGTGCCGATGATCAGCAGGGCACAAAGAAGTCACTTGTTAGACGAGCCAAAAAAGGGCTGAAGAGACTGAAAGGAAAGACAGGGAGTCGAGTCGTGAACCAGAGGGTGGTGAAGTCAAAAGCCAAGACCGTGGTGACCTCTCTGATTAGTACGGGTCGGTCAGGCGAGAGCGGGCAAGGAGATGGTGCGACACCAGCCGGGGGAGAAAAAGAAAACCTGATACCCCCTATGCTCTTGGCAGGTCTGACCATAACCGCCACGAGATCGAAGAAGATGGCGCGAACCCTGGCAGACACTAAGTTAGAAATGGAAATCCTCAGTCAATGTGGATCTGGAGGACTTGAAGATTATAGGCCCTCGCGAATCAACATGGCCAAGTTGAAACTGCAAGGACAACTCGACGTGGTCGAGTACAGTCAAATAACTGTGCCGGAATCGGTCCACATGGGAGATCCGGCAGGGGGTTATGTGGAGATGTTGAAAGCGAGGAACTCCGCGAGAGGGCACCTGATGGCTTGGAGCGAGAAGCGAGTCATGCAGGAATATCTGAAAGAGCTCACGGAGAATTCAAACTTGAATCGAAAAGAATACGGAACGGTAATGTCCTCTGAAGCGAACGAAGTCGGATTGGAAAAATTGCTAGAAATCTCCTGGAGGGCGGCCCTCCAGAGATACTTCGACGAGGCGATGCATGCACCTGCTACGGTGGCGGCATACCTGGCTCATGCATACCTGGAACTGATCTGCAAGTACGGTTGGCTTGGTGCTTGATGGGCATCAAGAGAGCGGAGTATGAAGCCAGTAATGATTCGAAATCACGGGAACAGGAACTGGAGTTGATGGAAGCTCTGCGAGCGTTGATTTCGAAAGACGATTCTGCGATAGCATGGGCTAAGCGTAAGGATGCCCTTTGCTTTGTCAGGTTCGTGGTGGATCGTATCCCCACTCCTGTTTTGGGAGAATGCATAAAGATCATTCGGCAAAAGGGAGTTGATTGTGAAAGGAACTTCCTTAGGGCACTCCTGGAACTATATCAGGACATGCCATTGACTGTGCCGAGCAAGGAGTCGAGTGATATGGAAAGCTATCGCAAGTTGGAAGAGGTGGGAAGATATTCCAACAAAGAATTGAAAGTGAGCCGAGAGTTGATTGAAGCGGTCAGAGGACAAAAAGAGTTTGCAACATTAGGGAAACTGAAGTCGTTCCAATATGTGTCTGGCATACCGGGGATGGCGTATAATCCCTTCGTGAATGAAGAAGCCAGGGAAGCGTACTTCGACTATGAGCAAGTCATAGTACTCAATTTCTGGGTCGAACGTATTAAAGAAACTGGGATGCTGATGGTGGAACAACCCAAGCTGGGAATTATTTTGGAAGAACGAGTGGTCAAACCCTCGGTTCCCGAGCTAAAGGGGCAAGTGAGTTTTGATTGTGGTTCTTGGGACGGTCCCTTGAAAACCAGTCTAGTGACAATGTGGGAACTCATGAAGCCTTCTTGGTGCCCTCATCCTAATGCCGGTTTAATCTGGGTCATGACGGCGGATATCACGTTAGACCTAGATGATGACGCGAGTTTACATGATCTGGCCATGATACACCATCTGCTGGCCATGAAGTCGACGAAGCGGAAGAGCAATCCATCCACGGAGCTGCCTGAGGAAAGTCCATCGAGCGATTGGTTGAAGCAAGGCACATGCTTGGCTCAACAAAGTAGGATGGAAGGGCATGTTTGCAACTTGGGACACTGCTTGATTACGCTGAGCGAGCAGCATCGACAACTGGCACGATTGTACGGAAGATTGAGCATGTCAGATAAGAGTGCCATGGAGTTGGTCGCAGACTGCCATGGGGTGACAGACGTAAACTTGATCACAGCCCTGGGATTTTGTAGCATGACGAGTTCGATAGAATCGCTTGAGCGCCTAGAGCGTGCCCATGAGCTAGTGACATCCCTCAGCGTGGAGATATTCCCTGGAGCGTTACAGACAGAGCAGAAGATTGGGGGCTGGCGAGAAGCTCTAGAAAATGAAATGAATCTGAAGGATAGTGAAGCCTATCACAGACCTACTGGTTCGAAATATATGGTGGGTTCAAGCTCCGCGCCATACTGTAATAGCAAGTATCCTACGCACATGGTGATAATGGATGCGAGGACGCAACAATTATTGGTTGACCAACTTTTCTCTGTGCCAAAGTGCGTGAGGTTGGCCAGAATGTCGGAAAGGTCATATGACTTGTTGGCAAAGATCTTTCGGGCAGTCCCGAAGAGATCCGAAGGCGAGTTGCAAGACGTTGTGGGTGAAGAGTTCATGAGACTGAACGAAGGTAACGTGAGTGAGTTCCAGAAACAGAAAGCGAGTGGAGCGTTACCCACTGAATTCCCCACCATAGAAGAAAAAGACGATTTACATAGAATTCTGATGGAAGTGGAACCGTTGCTGGGAGCCTCAGGGTATCGGACCCGAAGGAACATAGTGAGAACCCATGGGGAGTATCCTTGCCACTGCTTGGTGCAGACGTTGTGGTACCCCAAACGCGGGAATCTGATGCTAGTATGGGACGTGGAGGAGTTGTACTCTACGGGGTTGCCCGATCAGAATCAACAAGTGTCAATCTTGGTGGTTAGCGCCATGCTAGCAGTGAGATGGCTGGAGGCTAACGCGGACACAAGTCAGCAGGAGACGGCCGTGCCGACTCCTGAACAGCTGAGCAACGTAAAAATGAGTCGTGAATTGGATCTTTTCAGAACCACCTGCTAGGTTCTGAGGATACCTAAAGCCATTGAAAGAATATGGTCAAGGCAAAGATTGATGCCTTGGCTCCGTGCAGTAATGACATCATGGATGTATGAACGCGCGAAGCGTCACATGTCAAGGAACACGGAAGCCTATCAATCTTTCCAGCTAGATATAGGACCAGGAGCCTGTAAGAAAGCATTCTTGACGCACAGAAACGCGGTCACCACAGCGGTGAAGCGGGTAGCTGGAACGCCTTGTGTTACTGAAGAGGAGAAGAAAGAGGTCTTAAGAGCTGACCTAGAACGAAACGTGAGCCTATGTCTTCACAACAGCTTTTGCAGGAACCGGGAGCAGAAGGCGAATGTGGACTTGCTACCTTGCTGCAAACCGAGGCTGTTGGAACAGGAGAGTTGGGGCACGGCCCGCAACTCCATGGACATGCTGGAGAAAGTGTTGGAAGACAGCGAAGATCAAGATGGAGAAGTGATGGAATGAAGATGACCAAAGAAGAGAAGAGAAGGAGAGAAAACTTGATTGTATTTGTGTGCTAAAACTTAAACCAATCAACCAAGTTTTGATTATTGAACTTGTGAAACTTTTTGTTTTGATTTAGTTTGGTCAGACCAAACTATAATGTTGCAATTGTTAAAATTGTTGAAATTCTTGATTTTAGTTATGGCTATTTATGTATGTATACGAGGAATCTAGGTGAGTATATTTACCTATTTATTCACGACTGAAGTTTTTAACCTGTGTAAGACACAAATTCACTGTGTGGCGACATGGCAAGTTTGAGTAAACTCGCTCTGGAAGGGTGGGTAACTCAAGAACTTTCCTAGCCACAGAGTTTCTTAGTTTTAAAATTGAAAGGACCGCATAAATGACTGATTATACTTGGTGAGTAATGTTAAGTTAATTTTAACGGGTGCGTGGCCGTGCCACGTCCCACTTTTTAATCACAAAGAGCGAAAAGAAGTTTTATGGCAAGACAACGTAAGTAGTCAGAAAAGAAATTTTATCTAGGACACTCCTCATGGTGCAAATTTTGTGAAAATGTTGAAAGGCAGTGAGATGTAGTACGATGCCATTTGTGAACACGTAGTGAGTTGAGGTGGAGTAGATAAATTTCAATTTCTTATGCAATTTGTAAGATTGATTACAGAAAACTGGATAACTACTTGACGATAACCCGGTGTTATGCGATCAATAGGGACATTGATGGAGACTTGTCCGGGGAGTATGTGCCATTCTGCCAGATGACACAGCACAACCTTCCGGCGACGTAAAAAAGGACGGCTAAAGGCCTTATGAACAAAAAAGTGTTGCCAAGGAGGGTCAGAATGTTCTGGAATTTTTAATTTTAAAATTTCGATTGAAGAATGAACATTTCTGAGAAATAGAAAAAAGTGGCAATTTTGACTGAAAATGTGACAAAAAAGAGAACAACGACAGAGATTGTGAAGAACAGTCGTATCAGAGAAGAAAAAATACGAAGCCTCTTATCGTGGCAATAACACACGATAAGAACCTTAGCGACGGAAATTTGTGGAGAAGGAGGCTTCAGTGGGGGAAGAAATATACCACGGAACCCTCACGGTACACGAAATATAAGAGATAAGAGTGTTATCTCAAGAATATTACGGGAGCGGAGGCTTGGTCCCCCAGAGACTGTCTATGTGAAGGGACTGTATAGACTGACTGTATAGCTGCTATAATGTCATAGATCTTAATTAACACCGTTATTGTTTAATATTTCAGAGTATGAGTAGCTAGAAAAAGGAAAGGGTCAATCCATCTCTAATGGATTTAATATAGAACTGTCACACAAAAACATAATAAAATAGGTTGTTCGAGCCGTGTTTTTAATGACAATCACGTAGTCTGAGGATCCGAGACTCAGCTATGTGGTTGTGTTCGCATGTCAACGAAAGCTGATCAAAAGTCGTTTGACTGATGGCCTAAAAATGGTAACTTTTTACTTTGCCCTAGACAGACCAGAAAATCAACTGGCAAGGTCGAGACGGTGAAAAACGAGTAGAATTAAGGTAACTGACGCCTGCCAGTCGTTAATAGGTACTTTTTCTACGCTCCGTCGCTGTGTGATATTTGGGCGAATGTTACATGGACATTGTTTTAGAGAAGACGCCGGGACCAAGAATCCCAACAGCAATGCTGTGAATCCCCAACAACAACAACAACAACAAAATGTTTTTCGATTAGGATATCAATTTTAATAGCTAGAATCTTCTGTTATAGATGGCAGAGACTCGCAAACATCCTATATGTGCGTTTTGGAATCGACGTGTTCTCATACCAAAACTTAAAAGAAAATTTTCTGACTTGTTTTTGCGATTTCTTAAACTATTATTCTTCTGAAAATCCTTGCTCGTGGGTAATTGGTTGTCTGTGCTATCTTTGCCGTGAAACTAGTTTGTAACGTCTTTTCTTGTCTTTCAGGGAACTTCTGTTCCCCTCAATCATTTTGTATATTCTTATATAATCTGATTGTAAATTCTCAATAAAAATAATAATATCCGAAGATTTGACCAAATGACTTCCCATGGCAATCAATCTTTTCATAAAAACCATATCTCGTTGCACTTAAAATGGACAATACTCACAACCATGTTTAAAAGGCGTTTCTTTGTACATCTTGACTGGTCAGGTTATTCACTCTGGCAGTTTTCTAGTTGAGTAATGAAGCGTTGTTCTCAAACTAGCTTACAAACAAATGTTAATTTTAAGCGAAGAACGTAATCGGTTGGTGCAATTGATTTAGAAAAGCACATCTCTGGGAGAATATGCAAAAGGGCTGCCTCAAGTTGCGACATAAGACTCTTTCAATGATCTCAACTGCGAGGATTCAGCCTTCCGAAATGTTGTGGCCGTGGAGTATAAAGACACTCATCATAGAGTAAGTTGTAGCTTTCTCATTAATTCGGCGTTAATCATTAAAGTCTTTGCTCATGGAGACTGACTTGTCTCTTTCAAAACTGCAGAAACCAACCTTAACTCAAAAAAATAATCTGGAACTCCGGAAGAACATTTGATCTTCATGTACTTAACTCAATGTTAAATACAAATTGTAGAAATAAATTTTCTTCTGTTTTTGGACATAGGTGATTTTTAGGTAAATTGGATGAATCACTTCGAGGAAGCAGGTGTATCTTTGACCGTTCTCATCGTTTTGTTTAACGATGCTAGATCAAAGAGCCTCTGCAAAATTGAGATGAGCGCTTGCAGCCATGAAAACGTACAGGTAGCAATTAAGTAAAAGAAATAATAGTAGCAGTGTTTACGGAACAATCTTACAACCTTATGAAAAAAACATATTGTGCTGGCAGAAAACTCTTATCTTACCCTCCGTATCTTCACGAAGTGGTGTGAATTGTGGGCAATTTGTATAAGTTTGATCTATTTTTAATAACTGTATAATATACCAATTGTAGAAATACGTTTTCCCTCCGTTTTGCGTATTCTGTCGGTGGTATTGAAAAAGATTTAAAATGTATGTATCTTGGTTTGTGGTGCATCTGACTTGCAGCTTCGGGAATAGTGATTTGAATTTTCTGCCCATTCACTCAAAAAAGGTTGGGCGGAAAAACAATAACGCGCATTTGTTCAGAGTGCCAGCTGATCAGCTTGATCTGCGATGATGCCTGCGGAAATTGTGCTGACCTAAACGAAGAGAAGTACAGGACGAGATCAGAACCGAGCAAAACGCCGAGGAGTTCTAAAGGTACTTTACACTTTAGATGATCTCATCTCACAGTATAAGCGAAATAGTTAAAGTCGTGTTCAGACATTTGTTTCCTGTCCGTGTCATTCATAGATTGATTTTGTTGCAAAATAGTTGTTGAAAAATTGTTGAAAAAATTCAAAAAATTTGATTCAGGTTTGCTACTAAATTTTTTCAGTAAGCTTAATCAGATATTACGACAGTATGTTTGAATGTTTTTACCTACAGACGTTAAATTCCTCAAATAACTAGTGCGCTCTGGTGTGGTATGCTTTGTAATTTGAACATGTTAATTATCGTGCATACGCTCATTTTTCATCCAATGTTATTTTTTATCGAAAATTGGTCGTTTTTACTTATTTCTTTTATAATTTTTTGGTCCTTTTTTGTTTGTTTCTCGATTGTAACTTTGGTAGAAATCTGTTTCGATAGTGAAGTTACTAGTTGTTATTGAATCGATTTTTTTCGCATTTTTAAAACACATGTTGAAGCCTAACAGTGAACATGTGAACATAAATTAAGAGTCCTAACAACTTATGCAGAATGTATTGTACGTTGAGGTCTATTTGTGATCTTTCGCGGTTTTTTATTGTAGGTTCGGAGTCCTCGGAAACCTAACTAATTTATTGTAGTTAACAATTTTTCCTCTCATAACAAACTTAACTTTGACCTTCAACTTATTCGACGATAACCTTGATTTTTATTTAATAAGTTGCATAATCATCATAATCATAATATTGACCAGTGGCATGATTTGTGCTAATTTCATTTTATGTTAATTATGCTTTAGCTAGAAATACTCACTTAGCCTACTCACAATTCTAGCATCGACACCAGGTGGACTAATTCTTGAATAGAAACACTTTGCAATCCCTGTTTTCAATAACATTATGGGACGTCGGACGAACTAACAATACGCATTCAAAAGTTAGATGAAATTAAGCTCGAATAAAGTGCAATAGCATTGATATGTGATAATTCTCTGACAGGATTCAAAATTTTAAAAGATCGTATATGTCAATACGTTTATTGTAGCGACTAGCAAGGGTGTTGCAACCGAGTACTCCTTTTGTCCCGTAAACAAGTTCTTTCACGCGTTTGAAAATCTTGCACGTGTTTCAACTTGTCTCATAATAAATTCAATAATAATCAACTGTCCAGCGCATCTGACGTAAATGTAACACACCTGCGTGAGACGACAAAGGCATGTGGTTCGAATCCGGTCGGGACCTGTTTTTAGCAATTTGGAATTTTTTCCCGTTGGTTTTTTTTAAAATCGGATTAAGTGTTTTAAAATCGGAACGTTTTTCATTTCGGACATTTTTTTGTATACAGCTTATCCAAAAGAAGCACTGAATCATTCTCTCAAATCTGCACTTTCGGCAACCAAGAGACATTACTTACCCGTTCTTTTCAATGTTTGTTTTAAATTTACTAACTCGGGTTCGGTATAATTTCCGTTGTGTATTTTCTATGTTTCCTTTTTACTTGGCTTTAATTTTTGTAGTTTAACGAGATCGGCTTACTGGCCTCATATATTACGCTGTTGGATGCGCGAAACATGCTTTTTTAAGGAGGCAATTTAGTTCTTTTAATGAAAACATTTATTTTTGCGCAACGGTTGTCTTCTCAAAAGTTGTCGGCTTTGTTTCCGCTTCTTAAGTTTTGTTTTGATGCAAGTTTAGCTTTCAATTTTCTTATTCGAATCAAAGATATGAATGTTTTGGTAGATCTAATTTTTTTTTTCATCTTTTTTGATATCGCGCTTTTTGTCTCAACAGTGGTCCCACGCTTCAGGGAATTTTAAATTGAAAATACCGTTGGACCCGTGTCTCAATTTGTGGCAGCTTGTTTGTGTTGCATCGCAAATGGTGCGAATCTCTGCTCCGCCTCTGTTCAATTTTGCAATATAAGCTTTGCTCATTTTCCTCCATTCGGTAATTTGATTTCATGACAAGTATTCAAGAGTTCCTTGGATCGAAACTTTTAAGTCGGCTATTTTTTTTTCATTTAAGCCTTTGTATTTTTTAAGCTTTCTTTTGCCATTGTTTGCTTCTGTGTGCGAAAGGCTGTTTTTTCTGTTTTAAACGTAAAATGACTGTTTTCGCTAGAATCGAGTCTTTTTAGATGTTTTGTTCAAAGATATATTCAATACGATGCAAAATTATAGAATTTGTTTGTAGAAAGATAGCTTTTTTATGAGATCGCAACTTGTCTTTCAAGTCAGAGCTTAATTTTGGTTACCCATAATTTAAGAGGAAATAGCGCGACTTTATGCTGGAATTTTTTAGTGATTGTAAAAGCTTGAAATCAAATGTAAAGGGGCAAATTTTTTTCTCGTTCAACTTGTGTTTTCATCAGAAATAAAAGAATAAGGTTTAACTTCACCATTATAGTTTCAACTATAAAAGCTTATTGGATTCGTGAGAGCAACAGTAAAGATGACATATTTTTTGTTTGCAACAAAGTGAAAAAGTTCAAAAATGATTCAGTTATGGTTTTCGGTTCATTTGAATTCATGAGCATTTTCCAACTGTCGTTTTCTATAACTTGACTTCATTAACATTTTCCAACGAGTTTTTTGTTTAGGGTTTATTTGGCTGGGCCGATTGTCTTGAACTTTTCTGAAGGAAGATTTACTGGTCGTATAAACATTTATACGAGAAACCGTATGCTCTGGACTGTGGCAGCTGAAAATCTGGAAATGGAAAACAATTGATTTGATTTGATCATTTGTTACTGAACTACACGACGTATAGAAAATTCGACCCATCAAATTGAAAACCATTTTAGCCATTTTTAGTGCAGTTTATCCTCGTTGAGCTTCAAAGTGCATTGAGCTTTTTAATACTGATGTGATATTATTGCTGTGCTCATCTAAAAATCTGCTGTAAGAAGAAATTTCGTTGAAGAATATTGAAAGATTATTTATGATTTAATAAACTGCAATGAATTTTTTGCCGATTGATGTTAAACTATGGGCCTCATTGTGATTATGGATACCTCGGACAGATGATGTGATTATGGATTTTGCTCTATGTAGAATCGTCGAATAAAAATAGTTAATTTACGAAAGTGGATTAGCGTCCTTGAATGTACGCGCGAATCCATAGCCAGTTGGAGACATTTTTAAAATCTGGACACTGGGTTTTAGCCTTGAGAGAATTGTGACATGAATGAACGAATTGTGTTTGTTCTACGAGCCAACAATAAAAACACTTCATTAAAATGTTTCCTCCGTTTTTGTTTAATTGCAACCAACAATGGGCATGTATTATAATCCAATCCAATTTTCAACAATATAAACCTCAAACTTGGGCCTTCAGAAACGGTAGAGATCTCAGCCTAAATCATAACCCGATTTTTTTTCTAGCTGAGATTAAGCATTAGATATTCAACAGAAGTTAGGTTCAACTTTATTCAATTAAGTTTCAATGCAGCTGGGAAGAATAATTGGCTTGCAACGGAATTGCAAGAGAAATTGAATGGCAGCTAATAGTTTCAATAACAACATGGGTGGCTCTTTCGAGGGGCCGGCGGATTTTCAAAAAAAAATCAGCGTCATTTCGAGCTCGCCTTCAACATTATGATTAACCTGTTTGGTTTATGTCTTGTGCCTCATAGGCAAAAAACCTGCCAGAAATGACCTTTTAGATGGCGATTCAAGGTTTTGACCAAAAATTTGCGATTTGGTGAGCTATCTCCCCTCAAAATTAATTTTATTGATGCATGTAATGGCTCCTAAGAGCAGTTTTAAGGTTTTTCAACCAAAAGTGAGGGTTCGGAAAAAAGTACCCTCGGGTGTTAGGGGTCGAATCTTTGAACGGGAAGGGTTGGTTTGAACTGTTAATTAAATGTAGTTTGCATGGCAGAGCGAATGAGTTCACAGTCCTCCCAAACCTACTCGATCGAAATGTTATGTTTAATGCTTGCTTGACCTCGTGCGCAAGTAATGCGTCTGGATTATGGCGAGGACCCAAACCTCTACACTATCGGCTGAGAGGAGTTAATCGCCATTTAATCCCGTCAATCTAACTGCCTTAAGGTGAGTTTAAATATGGGAAAACAGTAAATGAGCAAAGTTGAAAGTGCCTAAGGCATCGAGTTATTGCAGTGAACGTCAGCCAAAGGTAAGTGACAATCTGAATGCTACTCAAAAAGATTTTTTTGAAAAATAGAAATACTTATTTAGTGCACATCTATAAGAAAATTTTGTTTAACAATGGGGATTTGAAAGAAAAAACGGCTTGATTTTAAAAAAAAATAAATAAAGCAAATTTGAACAATTGGAAGTAACTTTTGGGAAAAAATGAAATATATATCGTCGCATTCAAATTGTTAATTGCAAACTTAAACATGACATTCACTGCAAACTCTCAATAATGCTACGAACATTTCAGAAACGTGACCAAATTAAGCGGGCAATTGATATGATTTTTTTCTGCACATTGCTTTGAGTCATCAACATTTAGTTTGGGGGCGCATTTGAAGGAGTAGCGAAGTATCTTCGAGGAAGGAAGTTGTAACTTAGCATGCTTAAGCGGTTTATGTTTGAGATTTGGAAGTATATAGTTTTCTTTAGATTCACTAATAGTTTTGTCATGAATATGCAATTTAAGGCACGGAATAGGGCATGTTCCATAAGGTTTTTGTCTTATAATCGAGAACGAGACCTTTTTTTTGCCCAGGAGAACAACCTTTCACAAAAAATCTTTCTTGCTTTTCTAACTTGTTTTTTTGTTGTACCTTAGAAACCTCCAGGTTCGTTCCCACTTTGCCTAGGGGTAACGTAGTCGCCTTTGCACCCCAAGTTCTGGGGTTCGAGACCTTGCTTTTTTCATTGTATAAAATTGATTTTTTTAGGGTAAAAATTGAATTGTCGGACTTCTGTTTGTCCGCTCAACTTTTTTCGGCTTAGTTGTCACAGCACGTTTTTTTTTTGTGCTATAAGCAATCTTCTTTATAGTTGCAAGTGTTGTTTATTATAGTTTCAGGGCGGATTTGAATCTTTTTCACAAAATCAATTTTTGATCAACGATTGTCGGCTTTGTTTGCGCTTCGTTAAGTTTTGTTCCAATGCGACTTGCGCTTGCGATGTTATAATAATCAAATATTTTGCTTGGTATTGTTGCCTAGATTGAACTTTCATTGAGAAAATTTTGGTATTGTTAGACCTGATTTTTTCTACATTTTTCATTTTTTCTTGCATTTTTGTCTATGTTGTAATGCAAGTCATTCGAAGCTCCGCTTCGCCTCTGCGTTCGATACTTTATTGGCTTAGTTTCCGTTGGTTTAATTTTGCTTGGTTTAGTCTGAACTGTTGGTATCAATAGCGGATTTAGAAGGGATAGATGCCACCCCCCTCCCCCCCCCCCCCCTACTTCCTCAGGGATTCGACCCCTGACTACCCAAAAGGTCCCTCTATTTTATGACCTATATTCATGGCTATCTGACCCTAAAAATTTTTTTGAAGACTATTATTGAGGGGGAGCCCTGAAACTGTCCAAAAAGTGCCTAAAACGCCGCTTTTGGCCTATTTTTTCATAAATTTACTTGCCGTCCCGAAAAAATTGCATAAAAAATGTTTTTTTTATTGATTTGGGAGATCTTGGAAAATCAATTTGATCGACCTAAAAAAGTTGACGAAGTTTTCATTTTTTTTTCCTAGATCCGTCCCTAGTTGGAATGGCTATTTTTATTGCTTCAGTCATCGTTAACATAATAATAGCCTTAGTTTCAAGGTTGTTTCGAATATTGATTTTCCTTGCGGAGAGAAAATAATGCTCTGCAATAATTCAAGTGGGCTGACGAGAAAGTTCGCTCTTTATTTTAATTTGCTACAGTTTTTTTACACAAGCAGCACTTGTATGTTATAACAGTCCATTTTGTTGCAATGCAGTAGCTTGTTTTTTATTTTAAAATTGTGTTTCGTTTTACAGAGCAAACGGAGCGTAGTGTCATATTACAGGACCAACTTGTAGGTCAAAATTAAAAAGTGGCTCATTTTTTGGTGGCAATTTATAGCAAAAGCAGTAAATTTTGAGACTGTTTTTTTTTATTCAAGCAACAGACTAGAATGTAAAACTCAGTGGTTTGATTCCTCAGTGTGCGTAGTTTTTTTTTACTCAGGCGTCCGGGTTATACGATCAGTTTAATTTTTTCAGCTCAAGTCGATTTGTTTAGAGCAAGTGTACCAAAAAATAGTTTTTCAGAGATCATTTGTACACTTTTGTGAAAAAATTGCTAGCCTAAGCTCTAATGAAGAAATGATCTGAAACGATTTTTATTGAAAACAACAGGATCAGATATTTAACCTGCAATAATTGTTAGTGAATTTTTTGATGTTTTATATTTAGTTATAAGCAATTCTCTGGACTAAACTTTGCGCAATTTTGTGCATTTACTATGATGCTCAACGCATAAGTGCGAATGATTCCAGAGCGGCGACTTAATCTAAATTTCAAGCGCTCAAATAAACATTTTAAATCGAATTGAGGCTAGCTAAATTGCAATCATAATATATCCCTGCTAGACTCAAATACTATTTGCTGTACTTTTTTCATGTCATTTTTCTGTTTTCAGTACTTTTTGTTTCTATTTTGTTTTGCCTTATCCCATCCTTTTTAGAGCTAAGTTTTGCGGCTTCTTCAATAGTGCTTGCTTATGTTAAGGCTCTTTTTATATTTTGTTGACTTTTCAGAGCTTTTTAGACATTGTTTTGCTTTGCAAAGTGCTGCTTGGCATCCTGTATTATTGACAAAAGCGTAAATTTGTGGCAAAAAAAAGCAAAAACTGATTACAAGTGCCAAAATAATAATTGTATTATTGTATCTTTTCTTGCTTTATTTAGTGTTTGTGATTTATTAAGCGTCCGTGGTTGAGTGGATAGTGCGTGAGACTTACAATCTCTTGGTCGCAGATCGAATCCGAGACGTAGCCGATTTTTTTTTTCTAATTCGAGGCTGATTTCTATTTTTTTCTTACTGCACTTTACAGAGCTGCTTTTCGGCGTGTTCTCGCTAGTGTTTGCAAAGAGCAGCTTTTATGACCAAATTTGTGACAGCCCAACCGGCGCCTACCCAAGTGTGACTGCTTAGTTATCGCTTAATTTTATACCAGTGCTTGTTCAACGTGTGTGTGTGTGTATATTTGCATGTATATTGTATGTGGGCGGTTTAATAACTTTTTTTATTAGTCTTAATTTTTTTTTCGCTTTTATTCCTTTCCTTAATATGTTTCGGCCTATATTATATCGTGTTAGTGGCCTCATTGTTTCATGTGATGAACAATTAAATCTTCTTGAGGTTGAGGGGATCTTATTAATTTTTTCAAGTCTTAAGTCTTATTGATTTTTTTTTGGCTTTTAGATTTTCTGCGTAGGTATTTTCGGCTGTGTTACCGCTTGGTAAAATTTCTTCCGCTGCAAATTTCACATTTTTTTGACTTGGCATCTTTTGGTTTCAATACTAGCCATATTGATCTTGAAAGATCTAGTTTTTATGTCATTTTTTTCCCGACTTTGTTTTGTATCGCACGTATATTTTTTCTTTTTTTTGCACGTATATTTTTTTCAATTGGCATGAATTCATTTAGTGTGCTTTTTGTTCAAATTGAATTTAAAACGGCGCAGTTTTGTCGTTAGCCCAGAGTCATGTATTTTTGTTTTGCAAAATGTGCGAAGCTCCTCGTCGCGTCTTTATTCAAAATTTAAGCTAGATTAATTGTGAATTTATTCACTGATTATTGAGACTTATACAGTTGTAGAGCAATGGAAAACAATTGTGTTGATTCTGCTGAAAAAAACACTCGGGTAAAAATAAACAACAGGAAGATGGCAGCTCCCTTCAATGGAAAATCGTGTGTGTAAAACAAGATCTTCTTCAGGCTCCAAACGGTCTTGATAGTGCATCGTTCAATGAAATGTTCGTGATGAAAGGAGAATAAGCACGGAGCACAGCAGAAGTATCTGGTCGATGAAAGCTTTTGGCCTTCTGAAATTTTTTAAATTTGATGAATTGATTGCAATTAATGCTAACTCGTAGATTTTTTTAAAGCTGGATTCAGTGAATTTTCATAAATTCATTCAAAACTGTTTTCGAAATTGTGGCTCAGTTAAAATTTA